ATACACGAACATTGTGTCCCATTCAGGGTCGCAATAACAGTGCATAATGAGACAAAAGGCGACTTGAGCTTTTGCGATAAAACAGCAACTTTAACTGTGTATTTTCGAATAGTTTGTATGGTTGTATTTTCGTGTTTTGTGGGTCACATTTGAAGAGAATGAAGATATATACAGAAATAGATATAAATGGAAGATACATTACAGAAATTAGATATAATTTTATTGTTTTCACACCAGAAAGCACCTTAAAAATTGAGCTTAAAGTAGTCAGAATGTTCATAATTACCTGGTCAGATACACTTCTCGAATGGGTTTGAATTATTAATACAAATTATTACAATAAGGCCGTATTCTGATTAACAGTAAATCTTCTATTTTTATGTGTGAATAAAAATTCAAAATGAAAGCAAAGCGTAATATAAGAGGGGTCCCTGGAGATGGGACTAATGAACAGAGAAATTTATAATGAAATTGTAAAAATATACTACTGTCTGTCTGCCCACTTAATTGTGGTAGTTCAAATAGGTAAATGGGTGGTATCATGTACTGCAAATCAACAGAATAGAAGGAAATATCTAGGAATCTGGTAGAACTGAAACTATTGAATGTGGCCAAAAATTAGGGCATAAGTTGGGTGAATCACTGTTGTGTAAATATTGCTGTTTGGTTTTTAAGTTATTCTAACCTAACCACTCTGTAATCGGCAAAATCACAGATTCCGGCACCCTACAAGGCCCTGATGAAGCCAGACTTAGTGATGGTCCACCTGTACACATTTTTTCATAAATGTAAGTTGCAGAATGATATGATGGCACGTATGAACGCTTAGGTTCTGAAGTGGGGTGATTGGTAGGTATGAATTCAAATGTGAATGCAAAAAGAAAATTGTAATGACATTCCCAAAAAAATATTTCAAAAGGGAGGGACAAGGAATGAAAATGAAGTAAAATTAAACAAGCCTTGGTGAAGATGAACTAAACTTTATTACTGAAGGTTTGTGATGTTGGTGAACAAAGAGGTTTTAGGAAAAGTAGAGGATGTAAAGACTAAGTGCATTGAAGTGTGTAAGTGAACAACACCTAAGATAAATAACAAAAAAAGGCACAATACCGTGGCTGGAACGATACACAAATAACCCGCACATAGAAGAGAGGAGCTTACGACGACGTTTCGGTCTGACTAGGACCATTTACAAAGTCACACTAACCAGAAGTGGAGCAGGACGGCTATATATAGGCAGGAAGAGGTAGTGGTGGTAGTAGTAGTAGTGGTGGTAATAGTAGTGGTGGTGGTGGTAGTAGTGGTGGTAGTAGTGGTGGTGGTAGTAGTAGTGGTAGTAGTAGTAGTGGTAGTGTAATAAAGTTGGTAGAATTACCGACAATGTGTAAAGTAAAAGGACACAAGTGCAACTAATGTGGCATTTTATTGTGGCAACGTTTCGCTCTCCAGGAGCTTTATCGTAATGGCTTGATAAAGCTCCTGGAGAGCGAAACGTTGCCACAATAAAATGTCACATTAGTTGCACTTGTGTCCTTTTACTTTACATAGTAGTGGTAGTGGTGGTGGTGATGGTGGTGGGGAACTAAGGAGGAGCCAGTCAAATATGAAGAAAGGGGAGCAATGCAAGGGAGCTAGGTGCCCACAGAGGGAGAGCTAGTGCACAGAGGTGGGGGAAGGAGAAGTGATAATATAAATAATGAAGGAACAGAAACACGCGACGGAAGAAAGACAAAAAAAAAGAAAAAAGGAAAGGGGAAGAGGGAGAAGAAGCAAAAAATGAGGAATCAGGTTAAGTCACGGGCATTCTGAAGTTTGGAGCATTTTACAATGTAGTGGGAGAGAAAGGCATCTACAGAGATGAAGCCAGGACTAAGATTCATACAAGGAAAGTTGTGCATTAGAGAGGATTCAACAAGACGGCGACTGTTAAAGTTGGAAGTAGGGAAGGCAGTTTTAACAGAAGACCAGTCTATAGGATGGCTGTGATCTCTGACGTGACAGAAAAGAGCATTCCTTTTCCTTCCAAGGGAAATATTATTCTCAAGCCTTCGGTGTGGCTATGGGCTCTCCTCTCTCTCCTGTCCTTGCTAATCTTTACATGGAATACTTCGAGACTGTTCTTCCTACCATCAATGTGCAACCTTCACTCTGGCTCCGCTATGTGGATGACATCTTTGCTCTGTGACCTCATGACTCCAATCTCTTCCAACCTTTTCTTGAAGCTCTTAATGATCTTGCCCCTTCCATAAGTTTAAAGCTGAATGGGAATCTAATTCCTTGCTTCCTTTCCTTGATGTCCATGTCCACCGCTCAGATACAGGTTTTTACCTTTTCCATTACCGAAAACCTATGCACATTTGGCAAGTACATTCACTATTTTTTCCTATCATGCTTCCCCTGTCAAGAAAAGTGTTCTTATCTCCCCTCTTTCCCCGTGCCCTCCGCATTTTGTGATCCTCAGTTCCTTCCAGCAAAAATTTTCCCCACTCTTCATAATTCGTTTTCCCGTCTTGGCTCCCCTTTCCCCTTTTCATAGACTCTCCCCTTCTCACGAGCAAAAACGTAATTTTCCTCTCCACAAACCTCTACCCTGGGAACTCTTCTGTCCTCTGCCTTCCCTACTTTTCCCCGTCTTTCTAATCTCAACAATTCTCTCCGTCCCTTAGACATCAAGCTTACCTTCCGCCAAACTAACACTCTTCGCACTAATCTCGTTCTTTCCCTCTCCTCCCTCTACAGATGTTCCTGGTGTCTACTCTATTTCTTGCTCCTCCTGTCCTCTTCAATACTTTGGAGAAACTGGCCGATCTCTTTTACTAACAGACTTAGGGAGCACAAAAATAGTGTTAGGCGGGCCGACACTAACAATGCTCCTTTTCTGTCACGTCAGAGAACACAAACCATCCTATAGACTGGTTTTTTTTTGCTAAACTGTCTTCCCACTTCCAACTTACAGTCGCCGTCCTTGTAATCCTCTCTAATGCACAACTTTCCTTGATGAATTTTAGTCCTTGCTTTATCCTGTAATCCTTCCCTCCCCCACATTGAAAATGCTCCAAACTTCAGAATCCCTGACTAATCCCGATTCCTCATTTTTTTTCTTCTTCTCCTCTTCCCTTTTTCCCTTTTTTCTTTTTTTGTCTTTCTTTTTGTCGCGTGTTTTCTGTTCCTTTATATTTATTTTATCACTTCTCCTTCCCCCACCCGTGCACTTGCTCTCCCTCTTGGGCACCTAGCTCCCTTTCAGTGCTCCCCTTTTTTATATTACTGGGTCCTCCCCCTTAGTTGCGCTGCCGCTGCGCCGCCCCTCCTCCTCCTCCTCCTCTCCTCCTCCTCCTCCTCCTCCCCTCCTCCTCCCTCCCTCCTCCCCCTCTCTCTCTCTCTCTCTCTCTCTCCCCTCTCCCCTCTCTCCTCTTCTCTCCCTCCCTCTCTCCCTCTCTCTCCTCTCCCTCTCTCTCTTCTCTTCCTCTCTTCCCCCCCTCTCCTCTCTCTCCCCCCCTCCCCCTTTTCTCTTCTCCTCCTCCCCCTCCCTTCTCCCCCTCCTCTCCCTTTAAACCCTTTTCTTCCTTTTTAAAAACCCTCCCCTCCCCCCTCCTCCCCTCTCCCTCTGCTTTTCCCCCTTTCCCTTTCCTCCCCCCCCCTCCTCTCCTCCTTTTCCTTCCCCCTTTTTTTTTCCTACCTCCCCCCTTTCTCTTGTCTTTCTTCATAATAAATTAATATAATTAAATTTACCCATTCCCCTTTCCTCCTTCCTGCTCCACTTCTGGTTTGTTTGACTTTGTAATCCAGGCCCAAAACCGGGGCGTAGCCCCTCTTCTAGTGCGGTATTTGGGTTCACCTAAACAAAATAAGAACTTTTTGCTGCTTAATGATTTGATACATTCCCTAAACAAAGATAGGGAAGTTGGCGATAGCAAAATGGAATTGGGGGTAAATTTTTTAACCCTTGACGTCCGGATAATTAAATTG